CCTTCCTATTGTMGGTGCAGGAGGAATTCCTGAAAATAGAGGAAACTAAGTTGGAGTGGACCCGTTTCTTGCATCCACTAGGTTCACCTGTGAGTAGCACTACTGCAGATGTCAATATATCCAGTTGAAACATCCAATTCACTCATAACTCGGAATCAAACGGATTCTTTTACTAAGGCAAATGCTGCCATTCCAATGATAAGAAATTTTAAGGAAAAATACAGAAATGACAAAATTGCTGTAATCCAATCCTTTTCCACCCGGGAAGGCTCTGGCTGCCGAGCGCAGCGCGGCAGGGACCAGGCCGGGCCTTGCTCCTGCCTGGGCTGGGCTCCAAACCACATTTTCATAATGCAGAGACAAAACGGTTTTAAGGCATTTTCACAAGCCCTTGAACAACCCTTTCCTGTGAAACAGGAGAGTTTGGTGGCTTATGCTGTAAACTGCATCAGTAAACTGATCCGATTTAAAAGTAGTTATTTTAAATCAAATGAAAAGGGAAAAAAAGCACAACCCATGAAAGTGTGTAAAGTTATCAAACTGTAGCAAAGTTGTAAGGCTAAATGAGCCATCTTCCTTTTAAATGATATGGGAAAGAGCTGGGAACACCCGCAGCAAGGTGGGCGCTGCAGGTCTGATCTCCAGAGCAGCCTCTGGCACGCCGCTTTGCTCCTGTGTTTTGCTTGTGGTGATGGGCACTCGGGAAGCACCCAGCACGTTCACCCTTGTGCAGAAGCCTGATCCTGCTTTCTTTTCCCATCCAGAGCCTGCAGTGAGATGAGCTTGGGCTTGCACTGATTCCAGATCTGTTCTCAAAATCCAAGATGACTGATGCAGTAAAATGAAGATCTTCTACAGCAGAAGAGCGACACACCTGCAGACAAACGTCCCTGGCTGGGAGACCATGTGCAGGTAAAATCCAGCCAAGGGAAACCTGTTAAGACTGGAGTGTTAGGTCAGCAGGTGGGGCTTTTGCAAAACTTGACCKTTTCTCGGAAGGCTTGTGGCTAATTATTTTTCATCTTTTAGTTCTTAGTGTAGCAGGATCAATTGTTCTTCATTCCCTACATTCCCTTAATTTGCCCGCTACAAATTTTGGAGAGATGTTTTTCATCACGTTTTGCATTTCTTCCCTTTTTAAAGACATAAATGTCCCAGTGGCATTATTACTACAAGAGTTAATGTGTGTTTCAGTCTGGTGTCCTGTTGGCTAGTGCTCATAGTGAATGGAGGGATCTCGTGCTTAGGTGCTGCGGGTCCTGGGACAGCAGTGCTGTGGGATGGAGCTCACAGCTCGGTCCCCACCTCAGCCCGGCAGCTCTGCTCTCTCATCCCACCCCTGCCCTTGCGTAGAGAACTTACCATGAGAACTACGGCTGTGCCCAAACACTGCTCGAGAACAAGAGACTTAGGGTGTCTGTCTGTGCCCTGCCTTCACATTCAACAATGCTAAGCACACCRTGTCCTAAATTACATCCCAGATTACAGAGATGTGGCACAAGAAGTTTCAGTTGTAACACACCAGAACAAAGCATGGGGTTAAATTGAGGGAGAATTAAAATACAGGAAAAGCTCCCATCAGTTAGGCTCAACAGTAAACCCAAATTKCTTTTTTGCTAATCTCTTGAGAAGAAGAACATTGAGCTTTCTGCCTCCTGGGAGAGCTTCCCCTTGGCACAGAGGAGAGCTGGACACTCAGGGAAGGGAAGGGGATTAGCTCTTTCCAGCCAGCTCCATGGGAAGGTAGTGCAGATCCAAGGAGCGCCGCTYCACACAAACACAGCGTTCTTCCAGCAGCTTTAAGCCACTGCTCCTGTGTTTCTGCCCGTGAAGGGACGTGAGCTGCCACGCTAAGTCCCAACAAGGGATCCCCACCAACCAAGCCAGCGCAGCAACGAGCCATGACTGGCAGCAGGGCTGGTGCCTTGCTGAAGCCCATTCCGGGTCGAAATTGTGGTAACCGTGTCCTGGGAAGGAGTAATCAGGGACTAGAGACCAGTGATTCTGCGGAACTTTTATTCTGACCGATGCAGTACACGTTGACTTCTTACACAAACAAGCTAGCTCGTAAGGCAATCGATGATCTCAAAATAGGTTTTCCATACACTACTGTTTCCAGAAAATATTCGACAGAAGTACAATATATTAAAACCAGTCTTAGAAATACTACTGTAATTAAATCTAAATACATCACGTAGAAGATATCTTTAAAGATAYGCAACAAAAATACACCTTCCCACTCAAGAAATAAATGGGAAATAAGAACTTTCATTTATGCTAAAGGTCTTTAAATTCATTTTTCAAAGTGCGTTCTTCCAGCCATGTCCTGTCATGTCAGTTGTGGCTGGCAAATAGTGCTTCAGCTCCTTTTCTGTAAACAAGTTAAAAGCMGACATTCTTTCCCGTCTTCTGGCATTTAAAGTATCTTCTTCATATAACTGCACCCAAAGATAGACAGAATTACCTTTTTTCTCTTCAAAATTTCTTTAAAACTTTGTCTTATTTTACTACGAAAAATCATAAGGGAACACAATTATTTTAAGCAAACTGAAGCAAAATCAYCCCCAACACACAGGAGTAACGACCCTGTGTCCATTTGGTCTGGAGCAGAACAACGAGGCACCCAGGCAGCTGACTYAAAGCAACGGCACCGTTAGCTGTTCTTTCCTTGCCCCTCGATTCACTGCCTGCGTACAGGAAAAACCGGAATTTTCCTACTGCCACTCAGTGAAGCACTGATAAAATGGAACATTGGTCGCTGCTTCCTGCCTGGCCGCCRCCTCCTCGCTCTCCCAGTAGCTCCCCGGGCAAGCTGCATCCTCCTTAAGTGCTGCTGTTCAGAAACTGCTTGACAAAGAGTGATTCACTGTAATTATTAAGGTCGTCTTGACATACCCTGCAAGCGACCAGCCTGTTTGTTGGTTTTARAAGGTAATGTACATAAACTGAACAATACAGAACCCCTGAATCCCAGGATGGCTGAGGTCAGAGAGGACCTCTAGGGACCATCCAGCGCAGCCCCTGCTCCAGCAGGGACATCCAGAGCTCGGGGCACCTGCTCACATCAAGGTGGGTTGGAAGATCTCCAGAGCAGGAGACGCCACAGCCTCCCTGGGCAGCCTGGGCCAGGGCTCTGGGCTTCTACATTCCAAAATAATTTAAGTAAAGGAAAAAGAACAAATCCTCCAAGGCACTTTTTCGAAGAAAATTAGTGACTTCCTAATTCTCRGGTGAGGTTTCTCTGTGTTGCCCAGGTGTGTGTGCGGAGCCGAGCCGCGGGCGCACGCGGCAGGTTCCTGCTCGCTGCCGGCGCGTGGCGGCCAGGCGAGCGGCCGGGCCCGTCCTGCGTCACCGCTGCCAGCCCGGAATGACGCGGTGCGCCCGACTGAACCTGCCCTCGCCCGGGCGCCGGGACGGCCCGAGAGCGCCCGGGCCCGGGGAGCGGCGCTGGAGCCCGCGGGACCCCCGCCACGTCGCCCACCGCCCCCCGGGCCACCGCCTCCGCGTGCTGGCGACTCGTCCCCGCACGAGCARTCCGTCCCATATTGCCTCTCAACTGAAGCAGATCGCTGTATTTATAAAGCAAAGGCACGGGCTTCCACAATGGCAAAGTGCCTCGCTGTGGTTTTAGACTCTCAAATTAAGAGAAAGACTTTTAGGTCAGCGTAAACACCCAGATATCATCAGAGCATATATCACACCCAGATATCATATAGACAGTGGATTCTGCTGCTCAATTATTTTTCTTTGACTGTCATTAGACAGTCTGTAATTAGACAGTCAGGGGCAGAAGAGGGGAAATGCGTAGCCATCTCTTGTGAATACTGTTACAAAAAAAAAAGGAAGAGTTTTTCTTCCTTTTTATTAAAAAAAATAGGTTTTATGCAAGAAATTCCTAGCGGTTGTAGGATTATATTTTCTTTTAAGGTCCCTGAATTTGATATTATATGGCATATAATGTATGGTATAAAACTACACACTATATTGTATTTTATTGTATTTGCCCAAATTTACCCCAAAGGTGATTAAATGGTTGAGGCTATAAATAGTTGAGGCTATAAAAGGGTAAAGGAAATGGGAAGGAAAATACCCTTCTTATATAAAAACAAGTTTTAGATCCGATACACATGCACKAGAATTCATTTTTAATCAAACCTGAAAGTTACCTAGGAGAAAGGTAATGACTCCTGACTAATGGACAAACTGCTACCCAGCTCCTCCAGTCTGTTTTATTTTTAACATGCCCGAGGCTGCCATATCTCTCCAATTCATCGTTTGCTGGGGAAGTCTTGCTCTCAGGAAGTATTCTGACCACTTCCTAGGGTATTTTAGCAATGAAGATGTTTTGAATGGCACCTCCATTGCTTGAGAATCATTCATTGCTCATTTTATTCCTGGGTATGTGCATTTTCAAATAAAACTATCCATATGAAAACAGTATTTTAGGCTTTGCAAGCATTTGCCAGTAATTTACAGGAGGAAGAACATTTACTGTCTCTTACAACCTCTTTATCGCTTTCTCCATCTGCTCTAGTTTTATAGCTTTGCTAAAAGCTCGTTACGCCTGAGAATTTCACAGGCTGTTATTAAAAAGAAAAGAAGACAGAGAGACAGAGAGCTTTCCCACTGGTATTCTTTGTCCTAATGCTACATCCTACGCAGAAGATGAGCTTACTTCAGTATTCACACAAAATGAGCATTTCTTGGGGCATGTCCGTGTGTGATAAGACTCACAGAACCTTCACCTCTGGACAGACGGCCACCATCACTGCTTCAACACAACCTGGTCTGTTTTGAGCCACTGCAAAACAGAGGAAATCTCCTATTTTTTGTCTTCATTTCTTGTATTTTTGACTCTTTCTCACCCCTACACCTCTTGGCATTAAGATTATATACAGAACTAGGTCTGTTTAGTAACTTAACTGTTGAATCCATTTCCCAAGTGTCTCCTGGTAAGAAAATCACTTTTTCTTCCTTAATGCAAAAAAAAAAAAAAAAAAAAAAACCCTTCCAAAATATATTCTAGGCACACAAAAGGTAACGATCAGTTATGAATTACAATAACAGCAGAATTTAGCAAACAAAATAATTCCTCTGTCTATACTCGTGTGAGTTTTTGGCACATAGGTTATACAATTATTTGGCACTCTATGTCCATTCGGTAACACCATTTTCAGCTACTGCGTAGGCACTAACATGCTACAGCTACCCCAGTTCACAGTAAGATTTAAGACAAAAGCAGTTTTCATGCACACTGGTCGATATTCCTTCACGCTGTTGTCCGTCTGATTTCCTCTGATAATGTTATCGACCTCTCTTTCCACTCGTTGTTAGAGCACTTGGAGACAGCACTGGCTGCCTGGCAGAACTTCTGGAGCAGGATCTTGCGCAGCAGCAGATAGACCCATGGATCCAGTATCTGGTTGAGAGAGGCCAAGCGCACGGCCGTCAGGAAGAAATTGCAGTCCTTCTGCCGCCCCGAGCCCCGGGCTGCGCTGCTGGAGCCGTTGCAGTGCTCGAAGGACGTGTGGCTGAAGACCATTTTCAACATGGTTATCTATGGAAGTTAGGAGGAAAAAAGACATATTTTTAGAGATCATATCGATATCACTTTATGCAAATATCCCAGAAGACCAAACTCCGCTGCAGTTTTTCTTCTCTCTCTCATCCAAGTCAAGCCACTATCACAGCATGTAAGTACAGAGCACAATAGCAGTGATTGAGAGAGCAGCTCCGTCTCCCTGTGTTAATGACACTGACAAAAATGGWACCATCCAGCCATCAGTCAGACTGACTTATGGATCTCAGGCTAAAATCAGAAGGAACGTGCTGCTTCCCTGATTGAGACACAGTAGAAAATGGTGTGCTAAATCCGAGTGATTCGAGATGGACCTGCTAGCAGGGGAAATTACTGACCTACTCACTTAAAGGTCCTCATCTTTACCATTATCGTATTATCAAGATTGTAATGAACAGCTGGATAACTCCTGATTAGCAGAGCTGTTCAGAGTGACGTTATGAACAGTGAGGTCTGCGGCCGGCGCACACCAGAGCCCTCAGCTTTGCCTAGCAGCTGGCCAGGCCAAACATGCTGCAAGGGAGCCAGGAATTCATGCAGTTTATTCGGAAAAGCCCAAGGACAGGCAGCACGGAGCAATACTTTTGCTAATAAATAATCTAAGATCATTTTCTCACTTGCATTTCAAAGTGCCACCTGCTCTGTTCCAGCACCAGCAGACAGAGATGCCAGTGATTTTATTTTTCTTTTTAAAAAGATCATCAAGAGGTCAGAGAATATTTGTGCTGTTGGTATGCTTGGAAAGAGGAGAAGGCAACAGGGAAGATCTATTTTTTCTTATGGATTGCTACAAGGYTTACAATACTTAAAGCACTTGTCAACTGAAAACTGCACTATAGTGATACTAAAAAACAGTATTTCATACTTCACTTTCTAACTTAAGATATAAACTTGCTTTACAAGTATCAATATTGATATCAATATAGAGCTTCATATAATTGGGACACTTTTATTCTCATGTTACAGGCTGAAAAAATAAGACCCTGCCAAGGGCTGAAGTGATTTGCTGCAAGTTGCACCAAAAACCTGCCACAGGAGAACTCGGCTTGAGACGTAGTGCTGCAGCCACAGGATCACTGTGCATTAGCAGCCTGCTGTTTGTTCAGGTAAAAATCATAAGCAGCCATTTTTTTTTTAAGCCTTTTTTAAGGCTAACAAGACAGTTCTGGGGCTTTCATACACTTACATACCTATGGGAAATATCAGCCACATTTGAACRATATCAAAGCTGTATTTACTTTTCCATGGTTTAGTTGATGTCTGCTGTCTAAAGCTCCCCTCTGAGCTTTCTGTATTAACTGCACCTGTTTTTAAGCATAATAGCCCTTCAAGGGCATTTGGTTGCATTTGGGTGCCAAGTGTTTTCCCAGGATCCCGTGACTGTTTTCTGAGCAGACATTCRGCATGGATCTTGCTGCCAAGTGTCCACTGGGTCCTGAGGAAATTACCTGTGCTCTTAACCTGCCTGGGACACACAGTGAAGCTCTGGGAGCCTTTAAAGCAGGGTAGGAAAGGAAAAAAACAGKGCTGATGTGAGGACATGGCCTCCTCCATGGAATGGCTAAGGCTGGAAGGGATCTTTGGAGATCACCTAGTCCTGCAATCCTTTATCGTGTATTTGATGTATATTTATCAGATTATACAGTCCTTTATAATGTATTTCAGCTAACTCAGAGCTGGCCTTGTTGTTAGCTTCCCAGTGCAACCCATTGATTAAACCACAGTAAAGTGAACTCCTTTAGACACGTGGGAAGCCCGGAGGAACGCCCGTGTCTGGCCAATGTACCCCTRGGCCAGAGCTGTTGAAAGCAGAGGTTTCCTGCATGGGTCCTTTTTCTGCTTGCGGATGTCTTCTGACCATAACCTGAGTACCTCAACTGCCTGAAGTTTCCGTGCTGAAACCCTGCAGGGCTGGGATGCGGGACGTGCTCCAGCGTTGGTGTGTCTGCAGCACACGTAGCGTCCCATGGACACGGGGCAGCCCCTGCRCAACGGCTGGGACATTCGATTTGATCCACTGTGCTTGCAAAGGTCACTGCTACCATATTCTAAATAGACTGCAACCAGTCCTAAAAATGCAGGGAGCAGCCTGAGGGACCACATTCGTGATGCATTATCCAGACGCTGGGGCTTGCAGAAGATTTCATCTGATATATTTAACTTAAAATAAAGAACAAAAGAACTAACCCTTGGTAGAGCTGTTTAACTCTACGGGGTGGACACCGATCCAAACTGCATCAGGCAGCTTGTTGTGCCCCAGACCTGTGCAAGTACCTGATTCAAACCACTTCCTGCTCTGCTCTTTCCACATATTGAGATAATGTCACAGCCCCAGCTGAGCCAGATGTGTCTCTACCACTGCCTGCTGTGCCCATCAGGGTCCAGCGTCCCTCTCCTGCCCGGCCGTGCTGGCAGTACTAGCTCTATTATGGAAATATGCCCGTGCCCACGTTACAATAAATGGAAACCAAACAAGATTTGTCCTTCCACACATGTGAATTATTTTCTTCCAGATCTGCTCCCCTAGCCCTTCTTTTGGCGAGCTCTGCAATACCTCTGCTTTGGACACTCTCGTTGTCTTCTTTTGTTAGTGGATCTGTGGATCCACAAAAATATTAGACCAATAAGATACATTTCTCAAGCAGCCACCTGCTGCTTATTTTTGTCTTTATTTCCTAGTATTCCTCCACTGGAATATTTGTCAGAGCATCAATTGCCCTACTGGAAATTTTATTTCAGTTTGATATTCTTAGAGGCTGTTTATTGCCCAAATTGGTCTTTTAAGTTAATTAAATGAAAAACTATAAAAGGCCCTGAGTAGCAACATCAGGTGGAATAAAGTCAGTGAAATTACACTGTTGATGTAGAAAGAGTTTGATCATCAGATCCATCTGTTTACACTGCTGCTCATCTCCCATTTGTCCTGCCCTGGTGCCTGGAAATTTCCTTCCTGTGCAGGAGGAGAGAGCTGTAGAAGGACAGAGGCGTCTCCCCAGGAGCTGCACTGACAGCGACCACGGCTGCTGAGCCAACCGTGCACAGGCCACGATGGAGAGGGTATGATTTTTCCGAACCATCAATATTTACAACCTTATTTGAGAATAGAAATCATAACTCAGTGTCATGGGAATGTTAGGGTTCGTGTCCACCCGCTCTGCTGGAACGGAGGCAGAACGAGCGCCCCGGTGTGAGCGGGCCCAGCCGGGACGCGTCAGGAACGGTGGGTCAAGCGGAATTACTTGCCGCCCGTAGCGGGCAACGCCAAGCCAAGTCCAGCAGCTAGACCTTCCAGGGACACCAGACATCCACATGAGCCAAACCTGTGCGGACACCTCCTCAAACTGGCGATACTGGCCGTGAACTGGAAGGGATCTCCCTTCTGTGGCACCTGGTGTCTTCACTAGCAACCTTCTCTTTGCAGCAGGGTTTTTCCCTGCCCCTGGGTGCCCCGACCACAGACATCCTCCTGTTATCAGGATAACAGGAGATATCAGGAGATAACAGGAGCTTCTTAAGGGTCTGTTCCGCCTCTCCTCCCCGCTGCCGAGCCCTGCACATCCAGCAGAGCTGGGCACACCTCCCCTCCCACAGGACACCCACCTGCACATCAACCTCAAGCAAATCACCTCTCTGCCTCTGTGAGACACTTCTGCACTGTAATCACTGTAATTGTGGGATAATTACTGCAGAAGCATGAGGCTAAGAACACGTTTGCAGGATGTGGTGATGCAGGGATGCAGGACAAGTCCAACAGGCTGCCCAGGATAACAAATACACAGCCTGCTTTTTACCACTTGGTTGTGACTTTGGGTGGAAAAGCACAGCCCGCCCAACCCAGGCTTCTCCATCAGCTTGGCCAAAGGGGAATGATCAACACACAGGGGCAATTTCAGCAATCTGAAACGGGTTCTTGCAGCCTCGGATGGAAGGGAAGCAWTTGTGGAGGAAGAGCTACTGATTCATAGAAAAGAAGTGATCTGTCTTCCTTGCTGTTCAGCAGTGGCATTATCTTTTTTCTTCAGAAAAATGTGTTTCCCATAACTCTAATTTATACATCTAAAAAAAATCACAAAATACTAGATTTTAATAAAAGATACCTGCACAGAAGAATGCATTTGATTTCCCTCTGATAGGAGAGTTAATGAGGTCCCTTAACAGGAAAGGTAGCAGAGTACATGAGYGTTTCTGCTTTAAACGCCCTTGAGAGTGTGCTGGGAGTGCTGGGGCTGCCGGGAGGGTCGCGGCGGCTCCTGCCCTTCTGTGCAAACAAGCAGCCCTCTCCCCCTGCCTCGCACGCCCTCAGCCTGCCCTCGGCTTGTTTCACTGACTCTGCTCAGCAGTTATTTACCAAAATAAACAGAAGATGAACGCAAACCGGAGCCCGCTCAGGATGAAGAAGTGCAGCTTGGCTGCGAGGGTTTGCCCCATTTCTCCTGCTCTCTGTGCTGAGGCAGGCAAGGCCTCGGCTGCACCAGAAGAAGGAGAGCTGATTGCACTGCAAACACGGCTGCTCTCCCCAGCAGCCCAGTGCGAATGGAGAGAGGAGACTTCCCTGAAGCATCTGGAGGGCAGCCTGCAATCTGTTGTCTCAGTCTCACTTTTCTGCTAACTCATGTTTGATTTTGTCACTTCCCTCAATAGATTAAGCCAAAAAAACGCTGTTTGTGTAAAGAGGCACTGTTTACCCAGTAGGAATAGTCAGGATCCATCAGGGGCTCAGCTTCAAAATCTCCTCTGAAAATCCCTGGATTCTTGTTTAAACTGGGTATCTTCAGCTGCTAAATGATGCAGCTAGTTCAGCTTAGTGCATCTCTACGGCTTGGATCTCACTGAAAGGTCTCTACAGACCTGGACTTTGCAAGATAAATTCTCTTCTTTAATAAAAGATGTTAAAACATCTTTTTTTTTTTTTGCCTGAACTTAAGCAATTTTTAAGAAATATTCTTAGATCTCATTCTCTATTTTGTTGTTGTTATTGTTCCACAGCTGCTTTCTGTCCGTGCAATCACACCATATAGAAGTAAGCTAAGAAGTAACGTAATGATTATTTCACAGCAACTGTGTAGCTCCTCACTGACAGCTGTTAGCAGCTCTGAAGGCCGGGTTTGTGTSCTGCGCACGGGATTTGCCTCCCGTGCTCTGCATCCCCGGGGAGGCCGCACGTGGCTCCCCCCGGCAGGGCTGGCGCTGCTCTGGGCAGGGCGCTGCCAGCAGGGAGCTCGCGCCGGCTCCGCGCTCCGCACGTCCTCCGCGCTAAGCCGTGAGCACCCAAACCCTGCCCTACCCGGGACCCTGGGTTCCGGGGCCACGGGCTGCGGGACGGAGCGGCTCCCGAGCCAGGCCCCATGGGACACGGAGCCCTGCGGAGCGGCGGGACACGGAGCCTTGCCGAGCAGCAGGACGCGTGGCCAAGGGCTGTGGGAGCGGGCCCCGCTCCCAAGGGCCCCGGCTCCGCTCCCGCCGCTGTGGCGGGACCAGGGCAGCCGACCAGGGCTCCCGCGGCCGCAGCTCCCGGGCTGCTTAGCTCTGGGCAGGCAGTTCAACCGGGCAAGAGCTGCAGCTGCTGCGAAGGCCGAGAAGTTCCCTGCTTCCCTTTGGGACACAGGAGGGTGCGCGCTGCCCTGCGCACATCCGCGGCACGGCCGCACCCGCAGCAACTTCTGCGGAGATGGGACGTGGGAATGGGAAAGGTTCCCGTCGCTGCTGCCAGGCACTGGCACTGTCCTCGTTCAGCAGCAGAAATAACTTCCCTTGGGGTTTTGGGAGCAGAATATTGTAATTCGCTCCCAAGTTCCTTGAATTTGCGTGTGGTCTCAAGGTTCCCTTTGCCACAAGCCAGTAACCAGCTCTGCTGCAGAGTGCCTCTGGGTGCCTAATTTAGTGCCTCTGATGCATTTGTTTTAGTTATATTTTCTGTTTTGGAGATTTGATGACATTCCCCAGAGTAAAATTACTAAACTAGCCTGTGTTTTATTCTACCCGCTCCACACAAACATCAGCTCTGTCAGCCACTCCCCTCACTGCAGCTCAAGGAGCTGAGGACAAAGGCCCAGGATCAGTGGCCCCTGTGAGCAGGAGCAGCTGGACACAGGACCCCTTCATGGACCCTCATCCCTAAGGCAGGGAGAGACCTGGACTCCTGCTCTGCTCCTAGATCCCATGGAAGGATTTACACCCAAGGGACAAAGTGGGGGGATAAAAGCGAGGAAGAGCAAAACAGAGGAAGACTGTTGGGGTCCTTTAGAAACAGAGCCCTGCTCTACATGAGACGGAGTGCAGGGCCTCCTGAAATCAGACGCTGCTTGCAAAGCTGCGAGTCGAATTCTTTCCCTCATAAAGCATTAAAGTGGGAGCTTCCGTGGGTGGGGGTTAGAAGAAMGTTCTGAACAGCCCTGCTCTCAGCGCGGGGCTGCCTCGCTGCCCCCCGTCCATGCTGCCCGCCGGGCTCCCCGGCCTGCCAGGTGACCCACATCTCCTGTGGCGCCGACACGGTCAGAGCCCGGGAGCCTCTGTGCCCCTGAGCCGCTCTCGCCACGGGCACCGCCGACTGCAGCGTGCGTCTGGACCCACAGCCTCCCCACGCCTTCTCCCCCTCCACGAGACTCCTCTTTTCCCCATCATCCCTCCTCTTTTGCTCCCATTCCTCCGTGCTGTTTTTCCAGGCACACGGAGCTCCTCCTGGCCCCCGCTGCCGCTCCCCAGCGCGGCGCGCGCGGCACCTACCAGCAGCGGCGACCAGCACGCCGAGAGCACGCACATGATGCCCAGGAGCTGGATGAGCGTCTCGGTGGCAATCCGCCCCCACTGCTTGCTGGAGTGGGAGGCCGTGGCCTTGGAGCGGCAGCGGGACACCAGYGCCGCGATGGTGGCCAGGTTGCAGGCCACGGTGACGAAGAGCGAGGAGAGCCCCAGGACAGCGAAGGTGGAGGCGAAGAAGATGCTGCCGGCGAAGGCGTCGTCGCCGGTGCTGATGAAGCACCACGTGCCGGGCCACTGCAGCGTGTAGCGGCCCACGCCGGCCACGGGCAGCAGCGCGAAGCCCAGCACGGCCAGCCAGATGCCCAGCAGCACCAGGCGCGTCACGCGCGTCTTCATGTGGCTGGCGTACCAGTGCGGCGTGCGGATGGCCAGGGCCCTCTCCACGGCCATGGCGCTGGCGATGAAGAGCGGGCAGAGCCCGAAGACCGTCATGCTGACGCCGAAGAAGGTGCAGAGGTGGCCCGAGGGGTCGAGGGCGGCCCAGGCGCGCTCCGACAGGTACACGGCGATGACGATGGGGCTGGTGAGCAGTTGGCCGGCCAGGTCGGTGAGGGCCAGCGAGCCGATGCAGAGCAGGAAGGAGCGCTTGCGGCGGTTCTCCTTGGCGCCGTAGGAGCGCGACACGAGCGCCATGGCCAGCGCGTTGCCCACGGCGCCCGCGATCATCATGCTCAGCGGGAAGGCCACGGAGACGGCGCCGCAGGCCGAGGCGCGCGGGCCGCCCGGCTCGGAGCCGTTGGCGCCGGGCGGGCAGGGCGCCCCGCGCCTCATGGTGCTGCCGCCGGCCGCGCCGCTCCGCAGCCCCGGGCCATGGCGCGCGCGGCG